TAAACAATTGTAAAAAACAATGTTTTTTGGACTAATTTTGCAATAACTTTTTTATTTATTTATGGATTTCAATTTAGCAAGTCTTAAAATCTTCGTCAGTTCTCGAGGAAAAAATCATCTGTGGACCATTTTTCTCCAACCCTCGTGGGTTTTTCGCAATATTGAATCGAACGAAAAGATACCACTTTTTTGCAAAAAAGTTTAAAATAAACAATTTTCCAACCAAAAAAACGTTACTCACGAGATGAGACGCTGTTTGCATAGGCTTCCCCAACACTTTCCACCTGGAAAATCGCGTCCAGTAATTTTTCGATTTCAAAAACTTTATTTTCTCGGTCTAATCTACCAAGGCGTCTATATTATCTTAACTCAACATTGTTAGAACCTTTTGAATATGTCGTCTGGGCCTGGTGCTTTTCCCCATTTGCTCTGTTTGATTTCCCTTATAACTTCTGCTAACTTCTAACCTATCTACCCAACTTATTAAGAATAAGTTGGGTAGATAAAGTCACGAATGTCGAGATGTTGAGAAGAATGGGAAAAGGTAAAAAGGTCTTAAATACAGTTAGAGTCAGAAAACTGCAATATCTGGGACATATTATGAGGGGCGAGCGTTATAACTTGTTGCAATTAATAATGCAAGGAAGAATACAGGGTAGAAGGAGCCGCGGAAGAAGACGCATCTCAGTTCAATAATTTGAGAGCTTGGTTTAACTGCACTTCTGCTGACCTCTTTAGAGCAGCGGCGTCGAAAGTGCGAATTGCATGATTCCACGATGGTTGCCAACCTTCTTAGAGGAGATGGCACGTGAAGAAGAAGATAACTTCTGACTTCAATATTTTGGGGGAAGGGTTCACTTTTAGATTCGCTTTCCGAGTTTCTTCTAGTGTTGTCTGAGTATAGTTGCTATGTAGTTTCTCCAATGTTGAAGTAGATCCTTGGGATCAGTAATTAATTTATTGTCCTTCACAATACTGTTAAAACTGCAAGGTTTCGTATGACCTGTCACTGAGTATGTTGAAGTATGTTAAGGTCATGTTTTTCTTCCAATTCCTCCATTTCTGCACACTTGTCTAGTAGTCACTGTTCTTTAGCTTTGCGACAATCTTCATATTTGTCGGTTAATCTGCTGATGTTTGGTTCAGTCTTTATTTTTAAATGATCTGCAGTCGTCCATCATTGATAATATTTCGTCAGTCATCCAATTATTCTTCTTGTACTTTTGGGAAGCGATCAGAGACTTGGTGGTGGTTACGATAGCGTTTTTAATACAATTCCATTTGTCTTCTATACTGGCCGGTTGTTTAGATCTTGCCGTGATATCCGCTATTGCCTCATTTAATTTTTCTGTGACTTTTAGTTTAATGTTAAGTTGTTTTAAGCTGTTTATATCAATAAACAATTGTGTGTATACCCATCTATAAATTTATTTTCTTAAACTACAGAATAAACACAGATATTTTTATATGAAATTTTAATTTAATAAAAAAAGCTCAAAAACAAATAAATAGTTCTAGATCCATACAAAAATAAAAAAACATTTAGCACATATTGTTAAAATTAATACTGAATAGCCTACTTTTGGAGCATTAACAATTGTTTTTGCATAATTTCTTTATTCAATTTTAATATTTCTAATTTTAAATTGGTATTTTTTAAAACTAAATTTTGAATTTCTATATCCTTTTCTAAAATTCTAACTTTCAGCTTATATTCCTCATCAAATTTAATTTTCTGGTGGTGGACAAATTTTATTTTCTTTTTTATTAACTTATCGTTAAGTGAACCAGCTTTTTTTGTAACGCGATTTTTCTTGAAAAGGGTACCACTTTCTTTATAACCTAAAACAAAATATTATTTTATTTTTAATAAACAATATCCTCATTACACTACCTCCTTTCCGTTTCCTTAAATTTTAAGGAAGAACCTTTTTCCCAGCTAATCTCATTACGATGCATGCTTGATAACATTGGCAAATTCTCAGAAATTTCATCTGCAACTATCAAAGGTACTTTATAGATCAAAATTTTTTTCAGCTTCAATAATTTCTGTTAAAGATACACTAAAGTCACATACAAGTATTTTTCTACATATGGACCACCTCCAGCCAATTTTTTTATTCTTTTCTTAGTTCAAATATGTTTATTTTAGTTTTTGAACATCTGCAACCATTTCCCCTATAGGTTGCAGTACATTATTTTGCTACTTGTATCCATATGCCATGTTTTTGCTTCCATGTAAGTGCATTCATTCATATATCTGCATTCAATATGTGTTTGGTACATAACTCAATAACTCCTTGTTCTACTAAAAGTTTGCAGATCTTTTTATATGCCTTTCCTTGAGCACATTCCATTTTTTTTTTTATTTAATTATTTTAACACTCTCGAATTGTTTCTCAAATATAATTCTCAACATTACCTCTAAAATATTGACATATGCTAGCATGACACAACAAAAAAAAACAAAACCCTTGGCAAAGCATCTGAACAACAAGCACCCCAACAAAGTACATCAAAAAACGCCACTCTCAGAAGTCAAAAACAAGTCTCAACCTCTGATAAATTCATTTCACCTCAGCAAGTAAGCGCGGCTGTAATGCAGGCCCAAACAGCGCGCAAAATAGCGCGTTCAGGTCGAAAGCAATATGGAATGGCAACAGGTTAGAAAACAGTCAAATCGACAGTTTGTTGTAGGGAGGAATCAGAACTGACAAATTAAAACGGTACCAAAATATGTATCACTCCATGTTACAAAACTGCAACCAGAGACAAAGCCTGACCAATTTAAGGCATATCTACAACCCAACTTTTCTGATGTAAGCCATAGAGGAATGTATTAAGAACAACAAACAGGTATCCTACTTTCTTTACTGCGGAACTTATATCGAAGATTAAATGTAAGAATTGTCTTCATAAGCAGGTAAATAAATCTGCAAATGCTTTGGTTTTGGCTGAATATAAATCACTGAGACAAGAGGTGAAACAGCTTAGTAGGAAAGCATATAGGTGTCACAATGCAAATAATGAGAATAATGTACAAACTGACTCTAGTAGTATTTGGTCCTTTATAAAATCCTGTGGTGTAAATAATATAATTCCAACAGAGATCTCTTATAGGGGTGTGGACATAAGTGGCTGTCAGGATAATGTCAGATGTGTTGTGTATGTACAATGACTGTCGAAAGTATTCCCAACAACCACAAGAAAAATGAATATGAAACCTTAGATTTGATAATTGACAAAAACTGAATGTATAAATTCAAACTAATATATGTGAGTTATTCTAAGGGTAAAACTTATCCCCCTTGAGTAACTATTAATTGTGAAACCAGCCATTTGTGATTTTGTAAAAATAAACAGTGTTAGGTACTTTAAAAATTTGATAGAAATATGTATATGCATACCAATAACATAGTTATTACATCAAAATTACCATTGAGCAGCCAATAATATATATGGTTCATTAATCATTAACTAAAGTAGAATCCATTCATATTTATTTAAGGTTCATAGAGCTTGTACCCTTATATCATACTAGTATCAAGTTATCTTTATTCAGATTTCTTATTTGGTAAAGTATAAAAAGTATGTATGAATGTATAAAAAAATATTCACGGTTTTACCTTTAATACAAAGCTGTACAAATAAGGTATTAAATGAAATTAACTTTTAGACATCTTTATATCTCACCAGAGTTTTCGTTTCCTGATTCAATCTTGATCTCCTCAATTTTAATTTCTGTGGATAATTCATTTTCTGCATGTAAGTGGTCTGTTAACTCATATTCCGCACATTCTTCCTTAACATCAGTTTTTAAATATTCTTTGTCTGAATAACTACTATCATTACAACATTCCTCATATTCTTCCTTAATTTCAATTTTTAAATCTGGTTTTTCCAAATAACTATCATTTTTACAGCCGCCTTCTCGAGTTTCCATAACTTTGAATGTATTGAAATATATCTAAATTCAAAATAAAATTTTTTTAAATACGAGTCAAGTCAAAAAGTAATGATAAATTAAAATTAAAAACAAATACAGTAGAAGTTCAGTCAGCCAATCAAAGTAGTTTAAAGATTTTGTTTTGACGTTGACTTGACAGTGTCACACAGTCTGTCACACAGAATACATAATAATTGTTTCCTGTCAAGAATAGAAAATAATAAATATTTGTTCTGTGTTATTGTTCTGAACAATAATGACGTATATTAAACATCATTGGTACTGAAGCGATTTTCTCCTTGTATCTTAATATAATATCATATTTTTATTGGAAATTAGCCACAATTTTAATTTAAAATACATTTATTTTAAACGTTTTAATACGTTTTGATTTCCACTTTGAAAAATCGTTCACAAAATATTTTTTTATTCTATGGTTGTAATAAAGTCACTCTAGTAGAAACTGCCTCTCTGGGGGCACCAATGACGTATAATATATAGACTACGCAGTCCCCTATTCTCGCTATAGAATCAAGTGTCCGAAAGATCTCGGCTCAAGTTGAAGGTATGTTTATCACAACAGCGGCGTGCTCATTTATATGTTAATGACAATAATTATTTTTTTAATTAAAATTAAATATTTATGATTTCTTTTTGTTCCCGTCTATAAGAGAAATAATTATTTTGATAAAATAGTATGGCATTTTACTAAAATAGTAAGTAAATTACTCTCAACAATTTAAAATAAAATTTGCTTGTCACACAAAATGGAGAAAATGTTTTCATACGTCCATGATGTTTTCAAACACAAGATCAACTTCGTGATGCTTCGTAAGAAATCATGAACTTCGTGCATCTTCGTATCAAAACAATAAACAATAACAAAGGTATTCATGTTTTGGACACTTTTTAAAGCGTTCACCGAGTCTATATATTATACGTCATTGGGGGGCACCATCGAGTTAGAATCTGGGCACAGAGCACTTTTTGTCTTAATGTCAATTGTCGTATGTGTTTGTAGTTTGTCATTTTTTAATTTTTTTAATTTAGAAAAAGTCAAGAAAAAGTGAAGCAAAACATGGCTGCGATAGTTCGGGTAAAAAGGTTTTTAGACGCAGATCCATTGGATACTTTTATATTAAAATGCAAAAAAAGAAAATTAGATCACAGTTCTGAAAACAAACAAGTTGAAGTTGAAACAACCGTTCTTAAATTTGCAGGAACGATAAAAACGCAAGAAACAGAAACCGTTTTGGCACATTTAAAAACTAAACATTTACCAGTTTTAGAAGATTTGAAAAGTGATATAAAAAAACATACTGTTAATTTAACCGATAAACTAAGATTACAACATAAAGAAGCTTCAAAAAATAGTCGTTATAAAATTGTAAATCTACATAGATCCAATTTAGATAGTTCTGACAAAGATACTGATGATAAATTTACCATCCTTGATGTAGAAACAGACATTAATGAAAATAGTTCTCAGACAGTCAATAAAAATGATACAGAAGAGGAGAAATATGTTTATGATTTATATTACACAAATTCAGATAAATTATGGGAAAGAGATATTGAAGAATATGTTAGTATTTACCCATTAAATGATTCCCTGCTGGTAGGATCAGCTAGAGACAATGGTTTGGATGAATCTGATAGTGATGACAGTGAAGATTCAAATGCTGAATGCAACTGGAGAAATGAATATCCTGATGAAGATGATATGGAATCTATAAATGAAGATGATATGGTTGAGGCTATGAAAAACGTGGATTTAGATGACCTTTCCAGCGATAATGAAGATAATATTTACAGTGTAGACAGTGATGATGAATATCATGATGCTGTTGATGATGCAGATGTTAATATGTATGGGAAAAGGTATGCTGCATTTAAAGCAAAACATAAACAGGCATTTGTAGAGACTACTAGTTTTAGCAATAATGATCTATATTATGGGGATATTGATGAAAATGAATATTATTACTAATTAGTTAGGACAAAAATTATATTTCTAGTGTAAACAATAAATAAAAAATTTATGTTCCAACTTAGCTTCATTTTTGTTTTATAAATTTAAATTGCTCTATTACAGTGCATATTATGTTGTCACAGCAGGGGTTTCTAAGTCCATGATTTGATGTTGAATATATACACATGTAAATACATATCCCCTCAGTGTTCATTGCTCCATAGAATTATGGAGTGTCTTCCATCGCATTGTGGCCTTAACAAAGGTGTTCCTTTGTTTACTATCTAAGGAAGTGTTTTATTTATTTATTTTAACTGTAGAACCATTTACAATAAAAATTAGTAAAAAGATCATGTACAATAACAAAGAAACAATTAAACAGTAAAAATTTGTACATTAAAACAGTATATTAAATCACAAAAGTAAAAATATCACATATTTAGATTAATAATTAGATTCCTAAGTTGCCTTTTGAAAACATTCATATTTGGACAGAATGGGTCCAATAGAAGATCATTGCAAGAGCTGAGCATTATTAACAAGGGAAAATGATGATCATAATCAGTCCTATGAAAAGATATATAAAATAGTACAGTGTGTCGAGTTCTATGTATTGTGTTGTACACATTGGCTAATAACGGGAGACAATTAATAACATTGTTTAGAATTTTAAACAAAAATAACATATCAGCTCTCAACCTGTGGTTCTTCAGTGTAGCAATGTTAAATTGAGACATTATTACAGAATAACTTCCAGTATTTCTTATATTAATATGTGCTTTAAAAGCTGAGATCTTAAAAATTCCTGCTAAAAGCTCTCCAATCCATCAATGTAGACTTAATGAAATGGGGACCAAACAACATAGCAGTATCCAAGACCTGAGTGTACCAGAGAGCAATACAATAGGGGAGAGATCATGACTGTTACGATAAATAAAACCAAGATTACAAAATCCTGTGTCCTTAATTTTAAGAAAATGGCTTCTAAATGTCAATGTACAGTCCAATAATATGTTATTAGTGGTCTGTAAAAAATACACCCAAATCTCTAATCTTAGTAACTGAATCCAAGAATACATCATTAAGAACATAATTAGTTGGATTTAAGCTTAATCCATTTTGTTTTGACCATAAACATATATTTGTTACGAATATTTATTATTTGTATACAATGTATTTTGGTTAATTTTTTTAGTTTTATCATGTCACCCAAAATTTCCCGTTGCTACTGTTCTATAGACTATGTCAGATATAATATTAAAACTTCAAAAAACAAACTGTCACCGATTAGGGAAAAAATTTAAATAATTTAGCAGACAGCAAGAGAAAAGTAAGTAATGGAAATTAATTAGTTTTTATATTGTTAATTCTATATATTGTAGGAATTTGAGTTGTTTTTTCGCAAATAAAAACAGTTTAGTACAAATCCGTCAATTGCTGGCTGTACAATAAAGACAAATTTCCAACAAGCTCAAATTCTATTCATCACACGCGATTGCTGAATCACACAATCTTACAAGGTCTACGAACATGGGTCCATCAGTTGCTGGACGAACTAAAATTGATCTATGTCCTATGTGCGGCAAACCATATCGTGAAGAACGGATGGTAGAATGTACAGAATCTAAAAATGGTGCTGTTTTGAATGCGTAAATGTACCAGCATGATTCCGAAGTAATTGGTTGTTCATTATTGTACATAGTAATTGGTGGAAAACTTGTTCCACAACCTCCTTAAAAAGTTCGTCATCAACAAGCAGCAAAACAAAAATGAAGCTTCAACTTTTGCATGAAGAACGAGATCTATTACGTCAAGAAAGAGGGATACCCAAGGAGTCTAGGAGAATTATAGAAGATGAGTGCTCGAATGATAGTCAGGACATCAATGAAGAGGAAATAATTGAAACTAACCTTTTGGTCAATGAATTCCTTTCTTTAAATATAGATAAGCCCTTTATCGACAATATTGACCCTTTAACTCCAACACTTGGTAAGCCTCTGCCAACTTATAGTACACAACTCCTGGAGTTGTATAAAACTCCAGGATCCTGGAGACCACTCTATTTTTAATGGCAATCCACATGATTGACCTGTTTTCATTAGTAGTTTTGAAAGATCTACTGAGCTATGTCAAGTAGATAATCATGAGAATTTATTAAGATTGCGAAAATGTTTTCCAGCAAGAGTCAGTGTTTCAATTTTTTTAATTTTACCTCAAATGTGTGCCCCAAATTATAGCTACATTAAAAATTCTTTTTGGAAGACCTGAGCAAATTATTATATAACCTCATATATACCTCATATAGAGGTATATATGAGCATCATATCACAGTATAAATGTTGTTGTCTATACTGTGATCATATATATAGGTAGAATTTGCTTTAGCAACAAAAATTTATTTGTTTTATTGGAAGCCTCTAATTTAAAAGACTACCTTAATAACCATACCCTTATGCATGAGCTGTTAAGAGAAACTACCTTTACAAATTAAAGTTAATTGGGCGATATATTGCAGTGCTTTTCAAAATTTTTTTTGAAGTGAACTTTGATGTTGAGTAAGTGTAATTAAGTGAACTTGCTGATTGGTTGTATAACCTAGCAACAAATATTTGTTCTGCTTTATCTACACTAGCCTGTAATGACCAATGTACTAAAAAAAGGCAATTTAATAATAATGCTCATGCTAATATACATGGACCAAATACCTCCAATGAAACACATAATTGTAAACTGTGCAAACAAAGAGATTGTAAAAATATTGCAGGTTGTCCAGAATTTCAGAGATATTCATTATCTTAAAGATGGGAGGCTGTTAAAGCCTTTAAATTTATGTAGGCTTTGCTTAAGTATCCTGTAAAATGCAACAAAGAAGAATGCCAAAGGAAGCATCATCCCCTTCTTCATGAATTTTCAGAACAAGTATCTACAATTATCGAAAAGGAAAGCGGTATGCAAACAGAATCACACCTCTTATCTGCAGATGACGAACGTAATGCACATCAAGGAACACGCTTTCGAATACTTTCCATTGTTTTAAGAAATGGAAGTAGGGAGGTCACTACATTTGCCTTTCTAGATGAAGTGTCTTCCGTTACTTTGTTAGAAAAAAGTATTGCTAAAAAGCTAAATATAATTGGAAACCCAGAACAGCTTTGCTTAAAATGGACCAGAAACCAACAACGCTTAGAAGATGCAGCCAGAACGGTAAGAAAATTAGGCCTTCCAAAACAACCTCTCGATGCAAATGCAATTAAAGAAAGCTTTCCCTATCTAAAAACTTGCCTTTCAAATCATATAAGAACGCTGTTCCTCAGATATTGATATGCTTAGATACCTGGGACTTGGCGTTACCACTTCGAGTAAAGGAAGGTCTAGAACTTCAACCGATAGCTGCAAAGTCCTGGTTAGGTTGGACTATTTTGTTAGGTAGTTCTGAAAGCATTACTAATCAAGAACTCTTTAATACTGTAAAAGATTTCTTTTCAGTTGAAAGCCTCGGAGTTCAAAATATTAAACCGCCTGATTCCAAAGAATTATATAGGGCAATTCGTATACAAGAAAGTACCCTAGTTCAAATTGGTAACCAATATAAAATTGGATTACCTACACTGGAAATACGACAACTTGAAACTCCCTAATAGTAATCCCATGGATTTTCAAAGACAAGAGTGTATCTTCTTCTTCGCGTGCCATATCAGAATTTTTCAGTACTCTGAAGACAGTAATGTACGAAAAACAAGATTCTTGAACTATTTTTTTTTGTAAGTACTAGAAGTAGTTTCCAAATTAACATGACCTAAAATTGTTACTTCTGCTGATTCAGTCCTAATGTGTTTCACGCTCACTTTTTTATCAGCTACTGATACAATTTCATTAAATGTTTTAACTAGTTTTAATACGTAAGAGTGATGAAGAAACTATTATAGTATGAACTTTATTTAAACGATTCATACGTTAAAAAGAAATAATTTATGAATAATAAAGCAAACTATTTGTAAATAGTTAGGTAGAGAAAAATAAAAACTTTTACTGAAAAAGTAGTAGTACAAATTCCAGAATTATTCATTAAGAATGCTCTACGATTTTTCGAAAATGGCGGTAAAAGAGGTATAATATATAGTAATAGTATAGTATTAATTAATTATTATTATAGTAATAATTTAATAACCGCAAAGAAAAATACATAGTATTACTGTTTAGTTGATTGCCTAACTTTGTCACATATTCAAATTCAACTAACTGCAACGACTGGAATCTTGATAGTGAAAATTCAATTTCACTTTAAAAAAGCAAACAATATAAACAAAAAACAATATTAAATAAACTAAACTTAAAACGAAACTGCATTTGTATATCAATTACGGATATAATATACGGATTATAGTATGAGCTTAATCATTTCATAACTAAAATATTAAGGGTTGATTAGTATATTGGTAATTACAAGATCGAAATAAATAATCAAAATAGGTACTCAGAATGTGTGTAGATATCCTACTTTCAAATTAAAAGTATTTAAGGGTTCCTCACTTTATTAATAAATGAAATTAAATGCAATAGGTGAAAAAATTAATATTTTGATATTTATTTTTTTTAATTTACTTTTATATATCAGATATTTGTAAGTATAAATAAAATATAAACTTTTTTGGACGTATGAGGTATGAGTAAGCATACCCTTGGCCATGATCAGCCCACAACACTTTAATCATTACCAAAAATGGTAAACTTCAGTCTGACTTTGAGTCTAATAGTTTGAAGGCCATTTAGAAAGAAGAAGATAACCTCGAATAATTGAAATTGACAAAGAAAGATGCTTCAACGGCTCTTGAGACAGTTACTAATTTGAAAGTGTCTTGTAAATAAGTAAAAAAAATATTTAATCGGATTGTGATAGTTAGTTACACGTAATTTTATTTTACATATACAGTAAATAGTAATGGATATGCCAGAAATTCTTCAAGTGGGCTCGAGTATTAACATAAAAAGGACAGATGGGCGAATACATTCAGCGATTGTTGCCGCTATCAACGATGATTTGCGGTGTGCGACTGTGGAATGGTTCGAACAGGGTGAAACTAAAGGGAAAGAAATTGATATGGCCGCAATTGAATCATTAAATCCAGATGTAGTTATTCTTAGACAGGGGGAAAAGCCCACTACACAGGACCGGACCATTACAACACAGGCCCAGTTTAATAAATTACAACGGGATCCCACTAGACAATCTATAGCCAGTGTCAAACAAAACAATGGAATAAAGTCGGCACATCAATCCAGAATGACCCTGATTCCTAATAATGGTCATACACTAACATCTAGCAGTGAACCTAAAGAAAGTAATATACCCACAAGCAGGATGACTGCTGCTCAAAACTCAAGAAGAAGTAATGTAGTAAAAGAAGTCGAAAAGTTAAAGAAAAATAGAGAAGAAAGGAGACAAAGGCAAGCTGAAGAAAAAGCAGAAAAGGAGGCATTTCTTCAAATGGCTCCAGGTAAGTCAGCTACTTTAGAAAAACCTGTTGATTACTTCCTACTCAGACTAATAATTGATGTACTGAATTGTCATAATAACTAAATTTATTTTGATTTTAAGCATTGAACAATTGTAAAATAACATTCATTACTTCTCCAATTTCAGGTTTTCTTAAATAACAGTCATGTTAAATTTTCAAATATATTTTAAACACTCATTATGTCTAAATAAACATAAAATTCAATCAATTTATACAATGAATCAATTGTAAAATTCAGTAGACTTTATACCAATAACTTGTCATTTCATCTGGAGAAAAAGGACAACTGAAAGAAAATATAGGAAGTTTGTCTCATTTGTATTACCCTATAACTCTCATTTAAGATTTAAGTGTGTATAAAGGTAGAATATATTATCATGTCTAAACACCTTGTAGGTAAGGGATACATTTATATAATGATACAAGATATTCAGTTTTGACTGTGATACTTTTGATAGTTTTTTCTACACCTGCCATATTTGGCAGGTTTCTTTTCACTGCCTAGCCTATTTTATCTCAAACAATTTTCAAGGTTTTCCAATACACCTTTCTGTAATGTGTTGTTTATCCAGCATCTTGAGTCTGCTCTTCTAACATGTCTATACCAGGCTAGTCTTTTTTCCTCTATATAATCTATTATATTAGGATTGTGATTCTATACCTTCCAACTCGGTTGCCCTTATTCTGGCTTTATTTTTCTTATTTTATTAAAAACTGTTCAAAGGTCAAATTTGTGTGTGTCACTTATTAATTGAAAGTCGTTACATTTTTTTGCATAGTTTGATTTAGGTATAGGCACAAACATAGATGTTAACCAATCTTGTGGAATTGTACCAGTCTTGTATATACTGTTGAAGAGTCTTGATAATAGTTCTAAATTGTCTTCTTCCAAAAGTTGTATAATTTCACTATGAACATAGTCAGGTCCAAAGGCTTTTCTGGTTTTCATATCTTTTAAGGCGTATTTTATTTCTGATGTTAAGATGGGCAAGTCGTTATTTTCGATATTTGTTTGTCTATCAATATTTATTGTTCTATCATCTGAGAATAGGTTTTGTATGTATGTTCGCCATTCAACGCTTATTTCTTCTATTGTGGTCAGGACTCTATCATCTGTATCTTGTACTATATATTCTCATGTTAGTCTAAGGGCCGGTTTCACCAATACCAAATAAATCAATGAATAGTTATTTGTCGAATAAAATTTAAGTTGATTATATTTTTATTGTTTTAATATAGTTTTGATAATATAAATTGACAAATTTTCATTGTTATAGATATTTAAAGCAAGAATAACTTTTTAATTTATTCAAAGAGTAAATATTTATTTGATAAATAGATAAAATAAGTCTTATTTGACGTTAGTGAAATGCCAATATGTCAGTCTTTTTGGTCAAAGAACTTTATTAATCAAATAAACTATTATTTGTCGTTGGTGAAACCTGCCATTAGTCTATTATTTATATATTCTACTTGTCTTTTTGTCATCTTAACTTGACAGTATGGTTCCTGACTTAAGGGATGATTTAGGCTTTAGGTTAGTTTTTTTGATATGATTCTTTGTTTCCCATAATTTAGTTGTATATTATTTACAGCCACTTTCTAACTGGCAACCTGTTATTAATGTATTCTCCTATTCCAAATGTATGTAATAATGTGAATTTGATCAACTATGTTATGAACATAGTAATCTTGCAGTGTTTTACTATAATCCTTTCATCTAAGTCCCCTGCAACAATTATTTTCTTCTTGTGGTACCATTCAGGATGTCTCATAATGCAATCGAAGTATTCCAACTAAAGTTGTTTTTAAATAATTGTTCCTTTTTTTAATTTGGCTGATAATGAATTTGTTGGAAAATAGCAATATCATCTGCATATGTTGCTACTGTAGTTGTTATTATTGTTATAATGCTGTATAAAAGAGATATAGTATTGGGCCAAGGATGCAGATCTAGATATAGAGAAATATCTTATAACCTAATATACTAATCGAAACTGTACAAGTTTTGTTTGGATAAAGATATTTTTAACACCAAGTTATTTTCCAATTGATTTAGCATACATTTTATCATAGAAATGGTTCATAATCTCAAAATCGAAAAATTTAGTATTACCAGGTATTACAAAATTGCACATAATATGCTAAGATGGCTCATTTTGTACCAATCTGTTCTAGAATCTAAACTAACAATCAACTCTGATGTATATTATGATAATTTGTATATCTTTTTGTCTAATTTATGACACCTAAAAACCATGAATTATATTTATAATTAAACTGTCGAATTTGATATTGAAACATATTGTTATTTTACAGGCAATCCACATTGGGAACTACTTAATATGATATATGAATATCGCCGTGGAATTGATATAAAGCCACTAACCGAAAATGATCCAATTGAAGACCATCTAATTACTGTATGTGTAAGAAAAAGGCCTTTGAATAGAAAAGAAGTAGCTAGAAAAGAAGTTGATGTTATTACCATACCAAGTAAAAATCAATTGATCGTACATGAACCGAAAAATAAAGTAGACTTAACCAAATATCTTGAAAATCAATTATTCCGATTTGATTATGCCTTTGATGAATCCTGCTCAAATGAACTGGTTTATAGGTAAGTGTATTTATTTTTATACCTAAACTACCATTTTTTTACTCACATTTTTTTGAGAAAATATACAGAACATATAGTGTAATGTAAGAGTTTATAACCCATATCGTGTAATTATTTCTTTGTAACTGTTAGTTTTGATGGCAGACATCAAATGGGATGTGGCTACAATTGTAATCTTCCGCTCATATGGAAATTTTCGGTGGTTGTAGATTTTGTAGTTCTTCCAGCTGATATCCATATACTGCGTATTTGCAGAAGTAGGTATTGATACTCACGGGCCAGACAGTAAAGTCTAATTTTAACGTTACTGGTACCAATGGCGGTAAGCATTGGATCTGCATATCTGCCTAACGGCCGCCCCCTACTCACCATTCAGAGTAGTTGACTGATTGTGACATCATACTGTTTATTTAAAAAAAAAGAGAGCTGTGTGTGTGAGTGTGAAAGATATGGCACAAAAAACAAGTCCATCAGCCACAGAATGTTTTATTTATGTTTAAAGATATTTTTTTGTTGTTCTTATTTGTTACTTATTTCTAGATATATGTAAAAAATCACTATAGTTATACTAATTTATATTTTTACTTTTACATCTTTAATAAAATTTATTAGCAGTTCTAAGGTTTCTCTATTAGCAGTTGCCAAAATGTGTGATAGACTTAACAGAATCAAATATTTCATTTTAATAAGAGTTTGAATTAATTTATTAGATTTTTCTCAATATCTGTTGCATCCAAAGAAAATATGGTTAAGATCTCTGTAAGAACTTTTATCACAACTGCTGGATGGTGCCAGTAATATTCCAAACTTAAATAAATACAATAGGAATCGACCACGATTTGTTTTTAATCGAAATACACTTATCAAGAAATTGAATATGTATTGGGGTGGGAGTGGTAAAGTGGGGTGTATTTGGAAATATGTATTTTGTGAGTTTTCAACCATATTCTTCCATTGCTGTTTCCATTTAAGCCTTATTTTATTTTTTATTGAGTTAAATATATCCCTTATTGTATAAATTTTGCAAAAAACTCCGTTCTGCACTGCTTCCTTAGTTAGAGTATCAGCTTTTTCATTCCCTGGTATACCTACATGGCCTCTAACCCAAACAACATAACATAGGACACGTCATTCCTTCAAATTTTGTATTTTTTATAGAGCAGATTTAGAATCTGATGTTAACAAGGTAACACCTTTTATAATTGCAAAAAGCTCGGCAGTATAAATGCTACAAACAGGTGTTAATTTATATATCAATGATTGGTTTGTATTTTGGATACATGTACCACAACCAACACCTTCTTTCGTCTTAAATCCATCTGTAAATATAAGAGGTTTGTTATAGAAATCACCTAGTGTGGATTTTAGGAGGATGTGATTTATTTAATGAGATTCAGTATACTTGGGAATTATAATTCTGTGTATTTTTATTAAAGATTTAAAAGGTGTACATGTATTGTAATTTGTTACTACCAAACAAATTTTGGACTCCATTGGTCTCAGTAAATGCGGGTTGAACATTTGAAATTTTATATATAATTACCCAAATGTTTTATGTGTATCACATGTATTAACGTTTCAGTAAAAAACTACTTTTATATTTTAAAAAATAATAATTAACTTCCGAGAATTGTATATAAGTATTTTTACAGTATATACATGTTACTTGGTTGAAGTAACGTATTGCCCTACGTTGGCGTATTGCCCTCCAAAATCTAAGAAAATAATTGTTGTCATGTTATCCACCATGCATCCTGAAGGAGACAAACCAAATTCAACAGTGCTTCCCGAAATAATTGATTTTTATAATCAAACCAAAATCGCAGTTGACACATTCGACCAGCTAGCGCATATATATATATATATATATATATATATATATATATATATATATATATATATATATATACATATATATACCACTGCTCGACACTGGCCTCTTAGAATTTTGCGCTTTTTGTACACGCAAACAAGACAGAAAATCGAGGATGACGTACAAGAAGTGCAAAAAATATATACGTCTGAACCATCAGTCAAAAGTGTGCGCAGATTGCATTAACTAAAACTAATAATTAATAATTATGTTTAATAATGTGAAACCATTGTATACAACAACTTTGTACTTTTCTAAATATATTTGATTTTTTGAAAACACGTGTTTTAAATTTGGGGTACATCTGTACCCCGGATAGTAAAATATGTCAATTTTTGATGGATAGTAATGTAGGGTTAAATAATTTCATATTATATTATTGCGCTGACCCGGCCAGTCAGCAATAAATTAGCAATCAATTCCTTGGAGGGGGAAAGGTTTGTGCTAGGGAATGATGGGGCAGCTGTTGGGGATTAGTTAATATACCAAATAACATCAATTAAGCAATAAAATATGCCGCCAAGATGGGCTCTGTACCTCTTTTCCTTGGCTAGATATATGGCTATGCTAGCGTTACGGTAAAGCTACCATACCCACTGTTTATTGGAAAGGACTACAGCAATATTTGTTTTCTTTCCGTAATATATTAGCAATAAAATATAGTGTTGTTCTGAATTCGGCCTTATAAAATAGATATGCTAACTTTACAGGCGCGAATTTCTCGATAATATTACGAGAAACAGACAGGACTGCTTCAGTTGGTTTGTAAAAGTTTTAGCCAAAAGAGGAATAGGAATAAGAAGAATTTTCTTCCTTATAAACCTAAAAACTTGATTTAGTATGACAACCTTCTGTAAAGTTGTAAGGAAACTGTAAATTGCTATGAAGGTCGTCAACATCCGGAACGAATAGGCATTCTGACAAGAAGAAATGGAATAAAATAAAAGGCATTCATTTAGAATCCAAGAATAAGATAATTAGCACATAAAGCTAGCATAAATGGAAGACGCAATAAATAACGAGATGCTGATAGATAGCTCCAATTAAAAAAAATTAACAAAGTAAAATACAGCTTTACTGAGGCTATAAATATTTTAAAACTGACTTTTCGTCATCTACCATCATACTTCTGTAATAATATTTAAATATATGTGCCGTGTAAAGTGCTTTTATGTACCTAATGATAAATTTTAAAGTGTTTTAAAAAATACAGTTACTATTCGTTCGCCATAATGCAAATTTAATGTTTTGATTGTATCAGTAATGTTTGTAGTGACTTCTATACAAGCTATTACGTCTAGCTGTAAATTTCTTAGATAAATCACAATGTAAACAATTTTATAACACATTTTCCTTATGTTAATATTACAATAATAATAGAATTTTAAATCAATCTTCTTTAGAAATATTTATGAAAGGTCTACATTATTTTACAACGCATTTGTTTGAGACATGAGAACTTTTTTAAATCTTTACATGTTCGACCTAATGTTATTGATTATCTGTCCACTCGAAAGTAAAACCATTAAATGTTTAGAGTGCTAGTAAACTACGAGGGTGGATTTAAAAATATCATTATTAAGAAAATAGAATAAGTTAGCTTATTGTATATTCCACTATAATATATTATACGAGGGTTGTCTCTTAGATACATAGGAAAGTTAAAAAACTCAACGGGGGAATAAGACGAAGGCAAAATGGAAATATAACTGATTCTGACGGAAACATCATCTTGGACAGGGAAGCACTGTTGAATTTGGTTTGTCTCCTTCAGGATGCATGGTGGATAACATGACAACAATTATTTTCTTAGATTTTGGAGGGCAATACGAAAGCAGTGTTAAGTTTTTACTATAAGCAAATATAGCTGAATTTTGGTTTCTGTTACTTTTTTCGATGAACGTCACTGGAAGTTCAGCGTTATTTTTCTTCATGGTTCCAACTGTATGAATGATCATCATAATGTAACTGAATGATCATCATACAGCTTTTTTGTCGTTCGGATTGAGGTAAACCAATTATCTGTTGTAAGGTTACGATATGTCCCATGAATTGGTTTTGTTAGGGAGATCGCCGACCAAACTGGCATGGCAAGTAGCAAGTAGCAAGCAGCACGCGTCTAGCATGTTACTTAAAATGTAACCAATGAAAACGAATGACTCAGCGCACGCAAAAATGACAGTGACGTCATTCATTCTAATCATTCGTTTGCATTGGTTACATTTTAAGTAACATGCTAGACGCGTGCTACTTGCCACATGCCACGCCAGTTTGGTGGGCGCTCTCACTTAGGGATTAAGTGAGGAACTTCGTTATTTTCCGGTATATAATCATCATCGAAATTTTCGTCAGGTTCCGGACTATAATCATCATCGGAACCTTCGCCAGGTTCCGATCTATAATTGTTTATTATTAGGTCATCCTCAGAACTATCATTTTGATCGTCGGGTTTAAAATCAGAGAGATTCTCGATTATTTCCTCTGGTTCTTTTTGGGTTAATGGTCTGCGAGCCTTATTATCCATGTTTATACTGTAAGAAAAAGCGCATTTAAAGCCCTAACTTCATCAATAAAACAAATTACTTACCGAAATACTATTTTCAGATCGATGTTAAAATATAATGGTAATACTACTCGGGGTACACATGAACCCCAAAATCAATGCACGTATTAAACAACAGCACTTAATGACTCAGTGACTGCAAGATAACAACTGACCTGCTAAAACAAGAAATTACACGAGCGCGCGTTACCTTGTTGCCAAAAGTAAAAAAATACAGTACTGCTGTACCCCGGGTAGTAATGTAGGGTTAAATAAAGAAGCCCACGGGCTGTTAATAAGTTTCAACCCTTTAACCTATAGATGGTTGTTAGTTGCGTATTTTGTTGCATATGACAACCGTATATTTTATATCAATATTGTTGGGAGAACGGAAAATGCTCTACGAGAGGCGTATGTAGCATTAGAAGAATCAGCTACAAACCGCAGAATTTGCACGGCCAACAAATGCTATTATGGGCTCAATCTCCTCCTTAAATCCAAAATTATATCGAGAAATATAAACATAAAACTCTACAAAACAATACGCCCAGTTCTAACATCGATGAAGACATGAGAAATATGGGA